GTGCCTAGCAAAATTTTAACAAAAATGCCTTTTCATAACTGGTGGATGAATTTGACAATCTGATATCTAATTGACAGCTACAGACCATGATGGTCTTTTTACCTTTAGAGTTTTATATCTTTGCAAGGGATCGCTTGTAACTCTAATAGTTGCTACAGACAAGCAAAGATTTGACCGGTGAAACATTTAATTATAGTGTTAAAATACTATTTTTGAATATAAGCACATCATCTTTTTTTCATTGAAATGCCATTTTAATACTTCTAATCTTTCAGTAGGACCAAAAAAAAAAAAAACCACTGGAAGTCAAAAAATAGCAATATAGAATTGAGGTTGGAGAGTCAGCCTGCTTCCTGACTACTACATTCCAGTTGGCTGATCTCGGGCAATTTATTTTACTCTTCTATGCCTTTGTTTTTCCAATTCCTAATATACATAATAATGGTAATTCCAGTAAGCATTACATACATGATATAGGTAAAGTGATGGCACTTAATAGGCATAAAATGAGTATTAATCATAAAATCACCTCTTGAATAGTGAGCTTTGGCACAAAAAGCCAAAGATATAGTTACATCGTGTATATAACAATTACTACATTATTTTAAGATAATTCCTCTTTATGTCTGCTCATTAATAGATTATACATTCACTGAGGACAGGGACTCTGTCAGTGTAAACAGTGCAGTAGCCAGAATGCTGCTTGCCACAAAGATCTTCCATAAATATTACTCTGTTGAGTGTGGCTTAGGCATAAAACCTAGAGAAAGAAGGTACAAACTTTGCCTTTGTTTCCACATTCTGGCTCATGAATAACAACAGCAGGCTCCTCTGAGAGTTCACCAGATCACTTTCGGGAAACCCACAGGTCCATGAAGGGTGCAGGTTGAAGTATGGTGTCAACAATGGGTGAGGTACCAGACAGGACTCAAGAGTTTAACTTCATTGGTGAGTTCTTAATTCTGCTTTATTGAAACTCTCAGTGATCAGTTACTGGATCTTTTGACTGAAGATAAGTCAGAACACCATTTATGAGACAAGAGCCTGCAGTTAGTCCGGGTAACAAGGCATGGCCAACAAAGGCAGTCCAGGCCATGAGCTCTTGTGTCTGATTCATCACAAGAAATGACATATCAGCAACTCTGGCCATTGCCAAGCCAGTTCTGAACAACTCGCAGATGTATTACTCATCCTAGTCTATGTTTTTCTATACTGTGAGCACATCAGTTTAAAAAATATATCAAAAGCCTTGATGTTTTCATTGAACTTGTGAATGGCTAATAATCTCATTGCATTTATTTTAAATTGGTTTCCAAATCACTGACATATGCTGGGATTTTCACATGTCACTTTTTGAGAGGGCATTATAATTTTTCATTAAATGTAGTATATCATACATCAGATTTTGGCTATATTAAATCTTATTTTTCAATTTTAATAAAATAGTTTTATTATTTCTTAACTTTGAGGAAAAATACTCTGCATGTAGTCCTGTAAAACAGAGCAATTTCATGAATTTCCAACCTGCAAACCTCTCTTTGATAATTAGAGATTTATACCCCTCTCCTCCTCTCCCACAAAACTCAGAGCCGATCTGTCAACAGACTTAGAGACTGCCTTAGAGATCGGCACATCCATCATCTTTGACAATAAGCTGTTAGATTAGGTTAATTATTTAAGACTAGTGTATGCTTGGAAATCAGAGAAACAGGTTTAAAACTAATTTATAGGAATATAATCCACCGGTCATTTTCATGTTTAATCAAAAATATTTTAGAGGATGTCTCAATACTAATTGATCACATTAAGGTGACAAAACGCACTGTTCTTGCTTTACTGAGAAGAGTCATTCATCCCCTTTTAGGTTCAGACTTTTAGTATAACCTGAGAGTTTATTACTTATCAATGAATTAACATAATATTAACATTACAAAAAGGATTGGCATACTATGGATTCAGTTGTTACAAGTCAAATAATGTCATCTATATGAATGTGTTTTGCAGTTTTTATTATTACATAGATGGAACTATAGCTATCCTGGTTACTCTTTTCAATATCTCATAATATTCAACTAAAAAAATTAATTTACATTTAACTCCTTCATTGTTTATATAATTACATATTACATGTAATTATATAATATGTAATTACATATATAATTATATATAATTATATATAAAAGGTACGTAACATGTACCTTTTTAAAGCTATGTCTATAAAATTAATTTTTAAAAATCTGGTTATTTCAAGGTTTTGTTTTGTGCTTTAAATAAATGAAGTACATCTAAAACAAAATCACTAGCAGTGTGTAATGCAATTTTAGTGAAATGAGTCTGTTTAGTTCTAGAGTTGTTTTCATACATTATTTGTAGATTTGTATATCAATATTTTACTTATCACCTTGCATTGTCTAGTTATTAGTAACCTAAATAGAGTGATATTTTCCTTTGTTTTATATGCTAAATCTCTATTACAGACACCAATTTAAAAATATACTTTTTACTATATGGTTTGAAAATATTTTCAGAAAATACACACATTAAATGAACTTTATTTGTAATCATTGATACATTTACAATTATTCATAAATAACATTACATTTATACCAAATAGCCCTTTTCCTTGTATTAATGAGTAAAAAGCTAGTATGCATGTTAGTAATAAAGTTACAAAATAATAGTATCCATTTTAATTAGTGATTGAACCAGTTAAATATATATTTATGTCAATTAAAATAATATTTTTGGGATTTACAGTCTTTCTATGCACATACATTGAATGCATATGCTACTGTATGCTAAAGGCCCTGTGCTGTGATGAATCCCTCCCTTCTTCTGCTTTTAGAGCTACTGTGGGGAATAAAAACAGTACAGAGAGCTCGCGACATCAGGTAAGAAGGTCACTGTCAATAAACAACTCCATGCATATAAGGCAGATTTATGAGAGGCAACTTCTCATAATAACAGTAGTACTTTCAGGCATTAGTGCTTCAGTCCTTCACATGAGAGAAAGTAAATAAGAGACACACTTTCTGAAAACATTCAGTTAAAGCACTTTGGGAGACAGAAAAGAAAAAAACCTGATATCAAGAGAAAATGAACATAAAATTTAGGTCACTGCTAAATGAGTATTTTCTCTATGGGTTTTCCTTTACCAATTGCTTTTATACACACTTCACATCTAAGTATTTGGACGAAATTCATTGAAAACCTTGCTTTTCCATCAGTGCTCCATTAGCAAAAGTGAACTCCACTGTATCAGGGTCTAAGCTATTGTAAAACAAGGAGAAGGTTGTGGGACCTTTGTACCCTACAACAAATCATTTTGATTTTATTCTTTGGTCACTTTTCCTACAGTGTGCCCTTAACTTCGGCCACCTCAGAAGTCTAAATCTCTGCAACATGTGAAGTTGGCGTCTAAGGCACTTTCGGCTATACCTACAGACATCCTGTTCTTTATTTATATTAAATATATTTGCCTTAGAGGACTAAATAGAGCCTCCCATACTGAACTTGGGTCCCTGATCACATCGTCTGCTTCTCATTATCATATTCCCTTTCAATGTCAATCATATGTTGTATAAGGGAAGATAACTAGGAGGAATTATAGTTGTATTTCTTTATTGCCCAAGAAACCAGATACTATGGATATTTCATTTCTTTTCATATAGTCTCTTGGGGTCTTAGTTTTCTTCATTATCTCCACCAAATGTGGTTAAGAATGAATACAGAGATCTTGTTTTGCATATCTTGATCTTTTAAACATTGCTAAAATCAGTGTTCAATAAGCCTCTCTATTATCTCTTCTCCTTTCTGCATTTTCAACCCTTTCCTTTCCCCCTGCTCTTATGTATAATCAAATAAGCATGTTGTCTCCTATCTAAACAAAGGAGAAGTCTTTATCTGACTCTAGAGATAGAGCCTTTTCTCCTCTTCATTTTCACAGCTGAACTGTTTCAATATGATGTAGTCCCAACATTTTATCACCAATCCTTCACATCTAAATCACTGTAGGAGCCACAGTTGCCCTGGGCTGTCCAGTTTTTGCACTGAAAGCCCATGATCCAGGAAAACGCTCATTCGTAGACAAACAGGGATAGTTGTTCATCCTGCCGTAAACCCTCTCCTATAATCTCCATCTACAATCACTTTAAATTCTGATAGTTAAACCTTCTATCTTCCATCCATCAATCCTTTTTGTTTCCACAAACTCCTAGTTCAAATTCTCTTCTGCCCCTAGCCTGACTGTATTAGCCTCCTCGATGAGACTGATTCCCTCATCTTACCATCAATCTTTCTAAAAGGCAAATCCGATTATGTTACCCTCCAAAGCAGTATAAAACTTCAATCAGATACTCATTATCCTGTCCTTGGCCATCTGTGTACCCTTGCCTATCATTTCTTTCTTCTTCCCTCAGCTCTATTCAAACATATTATTACTCCCAAAATATGCCATTGTAGACTCACCCTTCATGGCTTTGTACATGCACTGCCCTTTCTCGGAACCCACCCTTCTCGAAACTACCTAATGTATTATTGTACTTCCCCGAGAACTCTCAGCTCAAGAAGGCACAGCCTCCTTTTGGAAGCCATCCACACTCTTCCGAGCAAATGAGGTTCTCTTTCTTGCTTTTCTGCTGTACTTTGTACATTCTTCCATTTTAACCCAGGTCTCATAATTTCCTTTTTCCTCCTTCCTTACCTGATTATACTTAAGGAGAAGCACCATGTGTTTTTCTTTCTTATGTGCTATACCAGCAGGGTTTCTATTTCAGTAAATAATTGAAATAATGTTTAATGATCTAATTACATTATTTGTATAGTCCTTACCTTTAAGAGGCAGGGTAGATAAGAGTACATTGACAGGGTCTTTAAATAGAAACTCACTATCATTCTTTTACTCCACCTGCCCTTGCACAATTACTTTATAAGCTGTACCCATTACCTAAAGAGTGACTAAACTTATTAAAATGTGGCAAAACTGTTACCAATTTCCTTACCGTTCTTGCATCCCATAAAGATAGGGATTTATCTGCAGAACCTGTGAGAAGGGTGTTGGAGCACAGGAAGAACTCAATGCTGTTCACGGAATCCATATGTCCATACAGAGTGCATCTGCATCTTTCACTGCAGGGAGAGAAATTAAGAGCTAAAGTGTTAGGAGGTAGCACCCACATGTGTCTTACGCTAATGGTATAGAACAACACAAACAAAGATAATTTAAAAATCTAAGGCATAAAGTAGTTTTATAAATGGCAAAATGTATAAGAACAACAGTTGTAAAAAATTCTAAAATTACCTTATATTCTAAGCACTGTATAAATTAATGGCATGAAATTGACCAAGTTTAAATTACCCTTAATTTATAAAGGTACTTCATAAAGCCATCTTTAAACACTTTCATTCCTTATCATTAATGGCTACATAAAAATTGTTCTCATTTAATAAAGGAATATGCTGAGAAAAGAAAACATTCCACTAATGTGTTAAGACTAGATAAACTTTAAGTCATTCTGTTTTTTTTTCCCTTCAGCTTTGGCTGTATATTAAAATTGCCTAAGATACTTAGCCTCAAGCCCCAGACATTCTATTTCAATTGGTCTGAAATGGAGCCTGAGTATTAGTGTGAATTAACATCTCCTCTTCCGTGATTATAATTTGCCTTTAGGGATGAGAATCTAAACCAATGGTTTTCAAAGGGTTTTACCCAGACCAGCAGCATCAACATCACTTGGGAACATATTAAAATGCAAATTCTCAAGACTCATCCTCTGCAGTTGAAACTCAGCAACCCGTGTTTTGAAAAACTCTCAGGTGTTTCTGATTTGGGGCTACAATTTGAGAATGCCTGATCTAAACAATTATAAATAACTGAAAAGACAACTGCAGTTTTGTCTTTTTTTTCTCTTTGATGAAAGTGCTGTTTCTTAATTAAACAGGGTAAACGCATACAGTCCTATCACTCTTCATTTGTGAGGTTTGATTGGTTTTAATTAACTTTATTTATAAATCTATTTTAAAAATAGGGAAAGAGTGGAAGGTAATTAATAATGCTGTGAATGGGTGAGTCAGTATAAGTACATGTTTAATAAGATAATCAGCGAGTTAAGCTCTAATCGGTACAGTAGTTTTTGTTTGAATTATTGATAACTTTAATTAGATCATTTCTTATGCAGTGTATGTCCTTCAGTGGAATTTGTTTTATATTTATTTATTCTTCAATTTTTACAATTCTTTTATTTTTTAGTATTTTTTATTTTGAAAGAATTAATTTTTTTTAAATTGTTACAATACATTTGTCTCCACTTACCCATCACCACTCTCCCCAGACCCATCCACCCCTCCCCCGCCTCAATCCTTCCCCACCTTTGGCTTCATCTATGGGTCCTTCACACCTGTTCCTTGATCTGACCCTTCCCCTCCCTCTCCCTGCTACCCCCTCTCTTCCTCCTTCCCATCCCTGTCGGATTCTTCTTTCTTTCAATGTTGCTAATCATAGTCTTCTATTTTTACAATTCTTCATAAGTTTTGGTTCCTTTTTATTGCAACTTATCTTTGTATGGGGACAGCTACCTGCTAAAGATTAATAGCAGAAGAAGGGAAATTGAACTTAGGTTATCACTAATTTCTAAATACACTTATTGTCTTCCACAACGACATATCACGAAATGTGTTACCGACTTGTTCCCTGAAGTTCATCTCTCCTCCACTTGTGTATTTTACAGTATAGATATAGCTGTTGCAAAACCCCCAAGTCACAGACTCTATATCAATTGTGAAAGCTCCTGACCCTCTTACCACCCACCACTTGCCTCGCCTATAGAAATCTTCTTTAGCTCCTTTATCTAACAATAAAAATGTCTTGCTAGGATTTATATTTCTAACCATAATACAGTAACCAGTAGTGTACTTCTCCTCTCACCATAAACAACTATAAAATTACACAAATTGTATTAGGCAACTGTTGCTGGCATCGAACTAAACACAGTGGTTTGGAAGTCCCTGAATGAAAGAAAAAACTCAACATGAGCTTCTTAACACCTGTGTCTTGCTGCTTAGAAACATTAGCCTGCTCTCAACTACAGTGGTAGAACCCCAGTAGAACTGAAATCTCACTGAGCCAAGGGGCAGTGAGAGCAGTCTGGGTTGCTAAGATACCTAAATTTACAGTGTAGGGTACCTGAGAAAAGGGAGCTACACTGGGAACGGCAGTAGTTTGTGTGGGAATTTATTATGAATTGTTGGCTAACGTCAAGATGACATTTCTACAGAGTAAGATTCCAGAAGGCTTAGAAGAAGTTTCTTGCTTTGTGGTTGAGAACCAAATAGTGATACCAGTGACCAGCCACTGCTGCAAGACATTGGATTTTAATGACAACCGGAGAAGAGAGAACTTACTGAGCACCTCAGACTTTCAGTTGATCCTGCAGAAAGGTTCCACCATAGAAGTAAGGGTCAGATGCATGAATTAAGTTCAAAACCAAAGTAGACTTGTTTTACCAAAGAGTAAAACCAAGCCTAAAGGGCAAAAGTAATTTGTCTCAAATTAAACTGATTGCTGAAACAGAATTCACTACTTTTTGTAGAAAGGCTACCTAATACAGATTCCCTACAATTTGCCATTAACAACATCCAGCATACAATTTTTAAACAACTACTACTGTAACTGTTCTGAAACTTTATTTCTTTAATATGACCTTTTCTCCTTTCTTTCCTTTTTATTAAAACTTCTCTCATCTAGCACCCTGACTCCTGCCTCCTTCTCCCTTGCACATCCGCTTCATTAGTTATTCAGTTCTCAGGACAATGAGATTATGGTTAGCATGGAATAATCTTAGGAACAAAGCCTTGGGTCTGTTGACCACAGAGACAGAATTTTAGTAAAACTAGAGGTAACATTTAGGCTTCTGTTGTGTTTCAGCTCCAGAACCACCCCACCGACTACATCCTTGTGAAACCAGACAAAGCCACACCATGGCTGACATCAGGAACAGACGAACAGATCTCCTACCCCCTATTCTAGTGCTGACCAGTCAGTAGAGATCACAACCTTGACCACAAGTCTAACTCCTTTAGTCACCATGATCAATAATTTTTACACTATATAACTTATCTCCTAGAAGCTACTGAGGAGCCAGGTCCTTGAACATTAGCTCATTTTTTACTCATTTTGCTGAAAACTCCTGTTCCCATATTGTCGGGCTTTGACACACACAGGCAAATGGACCCTGTTCATTGCTAACAATACATGTATGAAGATGTTGAAAATGTGACCCATATATATTTCTGTGAATAATTAAATATTTATAGTGATCTAATTGTCTTGTCAAATAGTGTTTTCCATACATTCATGAGTCAAGTCACATCTTCACAGATAGAGAATCTTTAATATTTGGAATACCTATTCTGTTAACATATATGTCTTCTGCTTTCTAATGGCACAAAATATATGGCTGACGAGAGGCATTTTGTGTTTAATTAAAAGGAAGTAAGAAGAAAATGAAACATAAAAATTCACAAAAATTTAACAAAAACAAGCAAGAAAATATTTATATAATTGCAATAAAAAGAAAGATATATGTGAACAGCTTCAGAAAAATATTAAACTATGGTTCATATTTCTAACCTTCTATGAGCCATTATTGAAATAAAATTTCCACCTGTAACAAAATTAGGCAATGAACTTTGTAAGTAATTGATTTGTGGTACCTTAGTAAAAGACTGTAGTTATTAAATAGAATAACATTAAGTATGATTTTTATTATTTTTAATTGAAGTATTACAACATATATAAAATTATGCTCTTAATATTTTTACATACATAATTAGCTATTAAACTAAAAGCATTCTCCTATTTGCAAAATTTGGTAGTATTTTTAAGGCAAATGCATCAGCATTATGAGTATACTTGTTTCATCACAATAAAGATCTAAGAAATACATATACACATATTACTTACCTATTATATGCACTATTGGGGAAAAAAGTGGTGCACATTAACAATTTACATTCAGGCTTTGTCTGTTGTCATTAAAACCCAATTCAATTATTTGAGAGTGCATATTCATTTATGGTCGTGGGTTAGAGGGAGCAATTTCTCAACGCTATATTAAAACTCACTTAACTTCCCAATGAAAAGGAAAAGATGGGCCTTTGTACTGCTTGAGGGGGAAAGAAATCTGCTCAGGAGTCGCTGGCTTAAGGTGAGGGGCCTTCCAGGCAGGCAAGCTACAAGAGCAGGCTTGTGAGATTAATTATCTGCCAGAGAAGGAAGTCCCATTCAGACTTCCTCTGCAAGGTGAAAATGGACTAAAGTGATGGAGCATGACAGCACCGTAAGGAATGGAAATCATTTGTACATTTCCATCAAAAACATAAACACTGAAGCCTGATGCAATTTTCTGTCTGTTGCCCTGTCCGCTGTTTCCTATCATTTTTGTAGGCAGAAGATAGTTCACAAGCAATAGCTCATTCTTAACTCACCTCCTGCTTTTCCTTTATTTCCTTTTGTCTCCTCTATTCTCTTTCCTGCCCCCTTGATTTAATTTACTATTCTAGTAACTGAATGATGGATGGTTCTCTGAACTTCCACCTCTTTGCAAAACAAAGCTAAAGGAAAGGCATCTATTCTAGAGCAGTTACATTTTCTTTTAAAAGGTATTTCCCACACATACATTCACTCATAAGAGGACACCATTTTAACATAGTTTTCCTTTGTGAGGCATTCAATTTTAGAGAGCTTTTTAATTTTATTTGGTGTGATTGTTTTAACACTATTAATATTGAATATGAAATTGTACCTTTAAACTCAGGCTTGTGTGAATTTAGAGATTAGAAAAATGTGGTTATTGGAATTAATGGAACATTTATGAAAAGGCAGGAGCAATATATTTTTAAGTAAATATGAAGAAAAGGGCTCAACATACCTACCTTTTCTTTAAAAGTGAATTGGAATTAATTTTTATTAACCCTTAGCAAGACCTGGATTTTAAATAGTATTTATATAATTGAGGCAACATAAAATGATAAGACTTATTGTGGGGTTTATCTGCAATAAAATTCTTTATGAAATACCTAAATCGAAGAATCTAAAATAAACGTAAGTGAAACTTATTTAAAACCTTCTA